AGCAGCAGCAGCAGCAGCAAACTACAGAAACTGCAGTGCCAGCAGTTTCTCCTTTAAAACCAGTTCCAACCTCACGAATTCCACATCATCTGGGAGCAGCCCTGCTGCTGGGAGCTCTCCTGCTGCTGCAAATCCTCCTGCATTTGGGACAGCATCCTCTCCTAGCGCACACCAATCCGTCGGCTTTGGCAGCCCGGCCGCTCCATCCGCAGCCTCCTTCTCCTTTAAAACAGCTGCCACAGCTGCTGGCTTTGGGACTTCTGGCTTTTCAGGCTTTGGCAGCGCTTCTGCTGTGAACTCTGCAAGCACCACTCCACTCCCAGCCTTTGGAGCCTTCAGTGCCACCGTAGCCACTTCTGCCTCGCCTTTGAGCGGTGCTTTATTTGGACAGAGCGCCAGTGCCTCTGGACATGCTGTCACCTCAGCCTCTGCTGCAGCCAGCAGCTCCAGCCCTGCCTCTGAGAAGTTATTCACACCCAAGAGCGAGTTATCAGCTGAAGAGTGGCAACAGTTTGAAGCAAAGGAATTCATAATTGGAAAGAATTGCTTTCCTCTTAAGCCACCACCATTAGAACTTTTAAATGCTTTCAACCTTTTAAGTTTTTTCTGAAATGTTGTTAATTTTTATTTCCTTTCTCAATTCTCTTCTGCAGAAATAAATGTGCAAGTATAAACTTTTGAATGTTAATTTGGGACAGACTTTTTACATCTGAGAGATGAACTGTTGAAACTAAAATGGAACATTTCCTTCTGTATGCTGTCCTGTGAACTTCTGTGCAAAGACTGTGTGAAAAATACAGTGTCAAAAGAAAGAATGTTTCAGTAAGGTATTTAAAATTTACCCTTTGATTAATTTTTTGTCTCCAAATGCACACTCCATGACTTGTAGGAGTGGCCACAAAAGCTTTTTTCCCCATTGCTCCAACAATTGGTATTGTAACTTTATTGGTGAGCCCATTGGTGATAGTTATTACTGATTGTGTGCCTTTGCTGTCTATCAAAAATCTGTTGCTTTATTCCCCAGCTTTACTGAAACATGATCTGTGAGGGATACCTCCACACTTTCCTCCAGTCCCCTTCAGCCATTATCGAAATCCTCCAGCATCCTAATGTTTATATCTTTAAGTTGACCATTCCTGCCCATAAATGGCATGTGGATTCAGGTCAAAAGGAGGGGCCATTTCTGACCCCACAACCCCTGTTTATCTTTTTGCCTTCTCTAATACCATTCTCTTTTCATACACATTAAAAAGGGGTTCGATATAGCCTGCATATCCCACTGGTTCAGATTATGAGTTTATAGTTTCCAAAAGCTGATACATTCCTTCAGGATTCTCTCATTATGAACAAACAGATCATTTCCAATTAAAAAAAAATCAGAAGTAGAACAAGGAACACGTCCAGAAAAAAAACGGCTGTTGCTCTGCACCCACCCAAGTGGGTGGGTTTGTCTTACCACTGGCTGGGTATGTCTCTGAGTACAGGCCACAACAGGACTAAAATCCTCACTTCCTGTGCTCTCTTTATTTTGATCTGTATCCTCTTTATCCATCTCCACCCTGCTGTTATAGGGGTGTGGAATAAAGGGAACTAACATTTGCACATAAACCCTCATCCCATTTTCCAACATCCACTGTAAGATAATATTAATCTGCAATTACACTACTTCAATTTATAAAGTGGCCACTAGTGATGACAATATCTCTTAATTTTATCTTTAGTCACTGGATCTCCCCTAAACATATTCCGGTTTTTTGGGATGCCAAATTCCTTTACCCTTAGGTCCAGACCTTCAGTATTTACAAGACCCCAGTCCCCCTGATTGGTTACACTGCTAAACATATAGCATTTGAAAGAAGAACACTAGTGCACCTACCAATCTAAGAATTCTGTTCCCCTTTTGGCACTTTCTTGACTCTCTCTACGGCACCTTTGAGTTGCTCACCACCATGGTACTGGAGAGGATTTGATGCAGTCCATGATCAGCTGGTCAGTAGATGCATGTACATGTACAGTCTCATCTAATTCTCCATTGCCAGAGGAAGCAAAATGATTTAGTCAAGGCTTTTGTCCACCCCACCTGGATACCCAGAACTCCTAAATATGGATTCTGTTGGGTGCAAGAAGCAGATTTGCGCACAGAGTAGAGTTCATAGAATATCCTGAGTTGGAAGGGACCCACAAGGATCATGAAGTCCAGCTCCTGGCTTTGTACAGGACCATCCCCAAGAGCCATACCATGTGCCTGAACTCTGTCAGGTTGGTGCTGTGACCACTTCTCTGGGGAGCTTTTCTACAGTGCCCAGCTACCCTCCAGGTAAAGAACTTTTTTCTAATATCCAGCCTAAACCCCCCTGACACAACTTCATGCCATTCCCTCAGGTGCTGGCACTGGTCACCAGTGAGAGGAGATCAGTGCCTGCCCCTCCACTTCCTGCGACATTGCAGACTGCAACTCAGTCTCATCCTCTCCAGGCTGAGCAAACCAAGTGTTCCTCACACAGCTTCCCCTCAAGGCCCTTGATCTTCATTGCCTTCCTTTGGATGCTCTCTAACAGCTTTATATCCTTCTTGTACTGAGGTGCTCAAAACTGCCCCCAGCAGTGGAGGTGAGGCTGCCCCAGTGCAGAGCTGAGCGGGACAATCCCCACCTTGCCTGGCTGGCAGTGCTGTGCCTGATGCACAGAAGTCTTTGTTACATGGCTGTACACATGGGTGCTAGGTGGTGAAGCCCTAAATGCAGCACAGCCTCTGTGTGCCAGCCACCCACTTTTATACACTTCAAACAGCATCTGCCATACAGACACAAGAACCTGAAGCTATACTGTACATACAGCAGGAGGACTAGAGAAAATGGCCTTAACCTGAGACAGGGGAGATTCAGGTTAGAAATTAGAAAAAAGTTTTTCTCTGTTAGGGTGGTCGGGCATTGGAATAGGTTGCAAAGGGAGGTGGTGGAGTCACTGCAATATGTGGTACAATTTTCTTTAAAAAGAGTGTTGTTTAATGCTTGATCTTTATCTACTTTCAAGCCTAACCAACAAGAAGGGACATTAAATTCCCAAAACAGATAGCAGCTGGCATGCTCTAAATGATGCTCATGTGTTAGAAAAACAAATTACCTGTAGGTAGAATTGCCTTGTTAAAGTTCAGGGCTGGACATGCTTCAGTGATCTCATACCTGAGGTGAGGTTAACAAAGCTTGGGAAGAAGGATGAACCACTGATAGTGGACACAAAGAATGCAGAATTCACGGGCCACAAGGACATTTGTCAGAACCCCCAGGACAAGGAAGAAACTAATAAAAACAACTCGACAACTGTGCTGAAACCAGCTCTGACTGGGTGAAAGGTAATTCCAGCAGGGGGATCTGTGACCGCCAACTCATGGACCACTATCCCAAGAAACCCATGGGCCCACAAGAAGAAAAAACTGAGCGTGCAGACTAATTGGCATGAGAAGTGAGAGAATGATTAACCAATAGAAGATAGAATATGAATTAATAAGAGAGCTATGTAACTTGTAGCCAATGAACACTAATTCCTTTGTTTGCTAAAATGCATAAATAGCAAAAAGTTTTGATAGTTGGTGTGCTCGATTTGTGGAATACTCTCTAGCACCCAGGTTTGTGCAACTCTGAAATAAACAGTCTTTCAAAAACAGTAGTTTTTGGCTTGTCACTTGGTAACGATCCAGTTTTTGAAGACAACATCACCATCCCTGGGAGTGTTTAAAAAGCACCTGGATCTGCTGGGTGATGTGGTTTAGTGGACTACAGCGGTAATGATGGGATGGTGGTTGGACTGGATGATCCTAAAGGTCTGTTCCAACTCTGATGATTCTGTAGCCATGGGCTGTACCTTCCTTAGTCTCCCTATAAAGACAGCACAGAAAGGTCTTACCGCGCAGGCTGCGTGAAGGGCCTTAAGTGAGCGAGGGGCCTTCACAGCGGCGGGCGGCTGTTTTACTGTGTGAGGGACTGAAGCCTTGCACAGCACAAATCAAACCCGTGCTTGGCTTTATCAGCAGCTCGTTACTGTGTTATCCCTTGGTTTGACTGGATGTACGTGCCGGCCTATTCCCGCCTCTCGGCCGGCGTTTGCCGCTGGCTCTGCTGGGGCCGAGCTCCGCGCGGCCTCACGGCGCGCTCCCGGCACGTCAGAGCCGCGCGACGGCGGGGCGGCCATGGGCGTCTGCCAGTTCTTCCTGCGGGGCTACTGC